CTCTTGAAAGACTAAATTTTGTCCCCTTGCCTTGACATGGGCCACACTTTCACTTGTTTCTATATGCCCAATTTGCAGGTAAAATCTTATTTTAAACCCTTTACCTTATTAGATTTATAGATTTTAGTCCCTTATTTTATACTATAACATTTTTTAGTTTTTTATTTTATATTATAACACTTTTAACCCTCTATTAAAATTAAAGAAAATAGCTCTCACTTATAATATTTTCTTAATTCTGTTAGTTGATTATTAATTTTGTTAACTGAATATTAACTTTATTAGTTCACTATTAGTTGATCGTTAATTACTAAAAACTTATTTTTAATTAATAGAATTAATAGTCAGTTAACAAAATAGTTCTGTTAGTTGACTATTAATTCTATTAGCTGATTATTAGTTGATGGTTAATAAGTGAAAACTTACTTTCAGCTAATAAAGTTAACAGTTAGCTAACAGAATTAACAGTCAGTTAACAGAACTAACAAAATATTATAAAATGATAATTATTTTTTTCAATTTTAATAAGTGAAGGGTTAAAAGTATAATAGCATAAGATAATAGGTTAAAATTTACAAACTTAGTAAACTAAAGGGTGAAAAGTAGGTTTTTGCCCAATTTGCATTCAAATCTTCGTTCTGATTTTAAATTGTCAGTGGTGCTAAAAGAACAGGCAGCTTTTTTTTAAGGTTTAAGTACCATTTTAGTCCCTCAACTTATCACTTTGGTACCAAAATTGTCCCTCAGCTTTAAAAAGTACCAAAATTATCCTCGAACTTCCATTTTTGGTACCAAAATGGTCCTTCCGTCAGTTAAACGCCAGGTGGCTCGTTAAAATGCCACAAAATCACTAGCTTTTTTCATTTTTAATGATGTGTAAATCCAACTATGAAAATTTTGTTACCATGGCATTTTTTTTTTTACACGTGGTATATTTTTTTACACATCATATTATCACCTTTTTAACTTTCCCTTTTAATGGGGCCCACATGACTTTTTTTAACTTTTCTTATTCTTTCTCTATCTCCTCTCTTCCCCTCTTCTTCTTCCTCTCCAGATCTAGGTTCTCCGGCTTCTAATCGTCTTCTTCAGCATCCCCTTTTTTTGTGCTCGAAAGCCTTGGGCTTCCGAGTTTTGCCGCTTGAGCCGCCGGGTTCTCCGGCTGCTCAAGCCCGATGGAGCCGGCCTGTTCCCTGCTCCGATGACCCCATGACGTTAAAATGCCTTTTTTGGGTTTTTGTTTTCTGTTTGTTTTCTTTGTTTCCTGTTTCTGTGTGTTGCCCGCTTGCTTGCAGGTCTCGCGGCTCCTTGCTCCCTCACGCAAATCTACCGAGCTACACGCTGGAATTCCCAGATCTGGCGACCGTCGCCCAGATCTGGTCTTCGCCTGTTCATCTTGGTTCTTCGCGAAACCCAGACGGGTTCCGCGAGGAACCCAACCCAGTGTTGGGTGGCGGAACCTAACCTGGTGCTAGGTTTCTTGAGGAACCCAGTTCCTTGAGGAACTTAGTTTTGGGTTCCTGGGTTTCGTGAGGAACCCAGATCTGGGTTTCGTGAGAACCTAGTTCTAGGTTCTTGGGTTCCTCGAAGAACGTAGGTTTTAGGTTTCGCTCTATTTTTCTTGCTCTGTTTCTTTGGTTTCGAATCGAGCCTGAAAAGGGAAATGACAGAGAAACGAAGACGAAGAACACTGCCATTGTTGGGGAACTCAACTAAAACTGGAAAAAGAAAACAATTTGTTTTTTTTTTCATGTGGGCCCCACAAAAAGTGAATCTGAAAAGTGGGGAAGCAATCTGACATGTAAAAATGCCACGGTGTCAAAAATGTCCTTGCTGGATTTACACGTCATTAAAAATGAAAAAAGCCGGTGATTTTGTGGCATTTTAACGAGCCACCTGGCGTTTAACTGACGAAAGGACCATTTTGGTACCAAAAATGAAAGTCTGAGGATAATTTTGGTACTTTTTAAAGTTGAGGGACAATTTTGGTACCAAAGTGATAAGTTGAGGGACTAAAATGGTACTTAAACCTTTTTTTAACATAAGAAAACAGAAGTTGAAGCATCATCGAAAGATGTCCTTCATATTTTCACTCAAATTTAATTCCACACCAAATTTGTTATGGACACATTCTATTTTGGCGGTATTCAATAGTACTACACTGTTTTATTTGTTAAATGTATCATGGGAATATTATAGTTCAAAATTTTATTTTGTCTAAAAAGTCCAAAATATTTGTCCCCAGCTGCCCTTATGGGCACATTTGACATGATTAAGCTTGAGGTCCGACATGCTACCGTCACAATTTACATGATTAAGCTTGAGGTCCGACATTCTACCGTCATCTATATTATTCAGATTGTATAGGTATCTACCATCTAAGGTTGAGAATTGTAAATTCAATTTAAATGGGTTACATTAATTGGTAAAAGTGTTGTCTTATAGTTTATATTTAGAATCTAAATTTTAGGGTCAATAGTGAAGAAAATTAATTTTTTTAAAAATAAACCAAGTAAATGTAAGGGTATATCTTTAATGTTGTTAGAAAAAAAAACTCAAAATATATAAAAATTAATTCATTAACACTTAATAATGAATAAAAATAAATAAAATCTACAAACACTTATCTCAATTGAGCATGAGTTGCAAATCTTATATATAGACCCAACTCCAATGTTCACTTGACCAGACTTGGCAAATGGGCGGGTTGGGTTGGGTCAATTCGAGTGATGGATTATATGAGTTGAGTTATAAATGGGTAACAGGTTAAAAAAGTTTAACCTTAACCCGACCCTAACCAATTACGGGTTAACCTGCGGGTTGATCTTAAACGACTCGTGACTCATACAGGTTGATAATATGGGTTATCTACTGATTACAGGTTGAGATATATAGACTCTAACCAATTTTTTACGGGTCGGATTAAGATCAAGTTGACGGATCGGATAAATTTTTGCCAGGTCTACTTGACCTTGTAAATCTTTTATGTTGATTATTTGTTGGATCCCATTTTTAAAAGCAGCTGTGTCTTCAAAAGATGTAAACATGGGATATGGGGGATGGGAATGACAACCAAAAGAGAGGAATGGGGTGAGGATATCAAGTGATCTCTAACATTTAAAATATATCTTAAAATTTTCAAAAATCGAGATGTGGTCTTCTTGAGTAAATATTACTTGCATCTAGGATTAGGATTACTACTTCTTAGTCAAGCTTCCCCAGCTATAATCTTAGTCAAAACAACATCCTATTATTCATGAATTTTGATTTATTTATTTAGTTGACCTTTTTAATATCACATTGCATTGCCCATTTGACTTT